CATACGCCGGCGCGCGCCAACTCGGCGGGCGCGCGCGCGCCGCCGCCAGCGCGTCAGGCGGAGCTGGCTATCACCACCGACGAGACTCTCACCTGGCTGTCGCGGCGGAAGAACAAGCCGACAGCGTCGGTCCTCCGCCGGCGGCGCTCCGCCGGCGGCGCAGACGCCGAGCGCGCGCAGCGACGCGCGCGCTTCGCGCGATGCCGCCATGTCTGCGCGACACGGCGATCGACTCACAACCGTTCGCGCAGTTCACAGGGTCGGGCGCTCGGCAGCTATTGCGGCCCCTCGCGGCCCGACTAGGGGTGGCAGAAGCCCATCGCTTCGGCGCGCGCGACATCCGCAGGTCGCGGCGCGCGCGCGCCCGCGCCACGCACCGCGGCAGCCATCCGCGGCCCTGCGGCGCCAGGGCGCGCCGACGACATCGACCGCGAGGGCGCGATAATTGCCGCGAGAGAAGAGCAAGAGGGATGGGAGTCAGACGCCGACCTCGCCCACATCGATCGCGGTCGAGTCGAACGCGAGCGCGCGGCCGCCGGGCGCGAGACCGCGTCCGACAGCTCGGACAGGAGCAGCCCGGACGAATCGAGCAGCTGCGACCGTCGTCCAGGCGCCCGGGCGCCGCGCACCGCGTGCGCACTGGGTCGCGGACCAAGTGTCACGCCGACGAGTCGGCTACGTATGCGCGTCAACTGCCGCGACAAAAGGGCAGGGGGGCTGGGCGTCAGACGCCGACCTCGCCCGCGCCACCGCAGTCGGGCCAGGCGCGCGCGCGCGCGGCGGCCGCGCACACCGCCGCGTCCGACAGCTCGGACAGCTCGCGCAGCAGCTCTGGCGCGTCGAACAGCTGCGACCGCCGTCCGTGCGCCCGAGCGCCGGACACCACGCGCGAGACGCGTAGGCGGCACCGGGCGCTGGCCGTATCATTGAATTGGGTCGTGTTGCGGCCAGCACCGAAGCCACCCGAGGCGTCCGCGCCCGCTTGGCGCGGCCCCCCTCGCCACGGGGCGTGCCGCAGGCTTCGGCGCACACCCGACGCTGTGGTTGCGACTGCAACCCAGCGACGGATGAGCGAGGTGTTTACGGAATTTGCGTGTATGGGACGACCTCGGTGCTTCGCTCCATCGCACACATTCGCGGGCCCGAAGGATGCGCGACGGACGCAGGCGCAAGCAGCGCCGTGCCGCCGCACTGCCCGCGCGCGTCACGGCGCGCCGCAGGCGATGTGGGCAAGTCCGCGCCCTTTTGCGTGGTGCCCGCGCCCGCCGCGGCGCTGCGGAGGTTCACGGATCTTGATGCAGGACGTGGGGCGTGCACCCCGCGCTCGGGATTTGACCCAGCCAAGCCCACCCAATCTTCGCCCGTTGCTGGGTCGCGTTGCGACCAGCACCGCGGCCACCCGAGGCGCCCGCGCCCTCTTGGCGCGTCGCCCGCGCCACGGGGCGTGCCGCAGGCTTCGGCGCACACCCAACGCTGTGGGTGAGCGGCGCGTTCAAGGAATGCGTGACGCTCGGCGGCGTGATGGGTCGCGTTGCGACCAGCACCGCGGCCACCCGAGGCGCCCGCGCCCTCTTGGCGCGTCGCCCGCGCCACGGGGCGTGCCGCAGGCTTCGGCGCACACCCAACGCTGTGGGTGAGCGGCGCGTTCAAGGAATGCGTGACGCTCGGCGGCGTGATGAGACGGGCGTGGCGAGGAGAGCATGTTTCTAGATTCGCGGCGAGAACGGGCGCTGTAGGGGGGGGAGGTGGGGGGGCGGCGGGGGGATGGGCATACGTTCGGTGGCACCTCATGGGAGCCTCCCATACCATCTGATCGGCTCTTGCGAATCGATGCTAGTCGACGCTAGTCGACGCTAAAGACAGAACTCTGATGGTGTACCAGGCCCCCACGATTTGCGACCGAAATGACGTATCTCCTCCGCCCCCCACTGTGACAGACTGTGGTGCCAGACACACTGCGGCAGTGGCAGGGCCGAACTGGGGGGGCGTTACGTTGTTGGGGTGGTGGAGGGGGGGAGAGAGAGAGAGAGAGAGAGAGAGAGAGAGAGAGAGCCGGGGAGGAGAGAATGGCGCGCGTTGTAGCCCAGAGGTAAATATACACGTTCAGGAGGGAGCACTCGAAGATTGCGTGGGGGGCGTCGCATCGGGGGGGAGGAGGAGAGGAAGGATGAGGAGGAGGAGGAGGGAGGAGGAGGAGGAGGAGGAGGAGAGGAGGAGGAGGATGAGAGGTAGGAGGAAGCCACGAGGGGGGGGGGGGGGGGTCCAAGGGGACCCGCAAATCTTTGCCAGAGGCACTGGGCGGACGAGCCGGGGCGGGCCCCACGAAATCCGGGGAGTTTCGGTGGCCCCTCCAGGTATATCTACCACCGACCACACCCCAAGCCTCGCTCCTCCTCGTCCTCCTTCTCCGCCTCCTCCTCCTCCTCCTCCTCCTCTCCTCCTCCTCCTCCTCCTCCTCCTCCTCCTCCGCCTCCTCCTCCTCCTCTTCCACCTCCTTCCTCCTCCTCTCCTCTCCTCCTCCTCCTCCTCCTCCTCCTCTCCCTCCTCCTCAAAAAAAAAAAAAAGGACCTCTCCTCCTCCTCCTCCTCTCCTCCTCCTCCTTCCTCCTCCTCCTCCTCCTCCTCCTCCCTCCTCCTCCTCCCCCCCTCCTCCTCCTCCTCCTCCTCCTCTCCTCCTCCTCTCCTCCTCCTCCTCCTCCTCCTCTCCTCCTCTTCCCTCCTCCTCCTCTCCTCCTCCTCCTCCTCCTCCTCCTCCGCCTCCCCCCCCCCCCCCTCCTCTCCTCCTCCTCCTCTCCTCCTCATCCTCCTCCTCCTCCTCCTCCTCCTCCCCCTCTCCTCCTCCTCCTCCCCCGCCTCCTCCTCCTCCTCCTCCTCCTCCTCCTCCTCCTCCTCCTCCTCCTCCTCCTCCTCCTCCTCCTTCCTCCTTCCTACCTCCTCCTCCTCCTCCTCCTCCTCCTCCTCCTCCTCCTCCTCCTCCTCCTCCTCCTCCTCCTCCTCCTCCTCCCCCCTCTCCCTGGACGCCCCCCGATCTCAGGACCCGGGAGCTTCAGAGAGGGCTCCCTGGAAGGCGGGAGGCGAGGCAGAAGGCGAGGGGGCGCTCAGCTCACAGGGGGAAACATCGAGCTGCAATCGGCGATACATCGCCGAGAGATCGTCGGCAGGCCCCCGACAGCGAGTCCACACGGGCCTGAGCAGGTGGGCGATCGGACCCCTATCGGCGACCAATGGGCGATTGGGGGTCGATGTACCCCCCCTGGGACCACCTCCCCCAACTTTGCGGCCGAGAGGAAAAGAGTATTCCCCAATCAGAGCTTGCATGTGTAGAGGTCGTCTTAGCGGATCCAAAGGGTATGATTAACTGTGGCGTCGATTTCGGCGGCACGCCCGGGTGCCCGAGTGCCCGGGTGCCCCGGTACCCGGGTGCGCGGGTGCCCGGGTGCCCGGGTGCCGGCGTGCCCAGGTGCCCGGGTGCCCGGTAGCCCTATAGCCCTATAGCGCTATAGTAGCCCTATAGCCTTACAGGCCTGTAGCCCTATAGCCCGATAGCCCTATAGTCATAATAGCCCTATAGACCTATAGCCCTATAGCCCTATAGCCCTATACCCCCATAGCCCTATAGCCCTATAGACCTGTACCCCCATAGCCCTATAGCCCCAGAGCCTTATAACCCTGTAGCCCTATAGCCCTATAGCCCCATAGCCCTATAGCCCTAAAAAGATTATGACTGGAGCTTCTCTCCGGTAACATCTTAATGTGTGGTGGTAGGGAAGAGAGAAGGGAAAGGAGGAGGAGGAGGAGGAGGAGGAGAAGGAAACGGAGGAAACGGAGGAGGAGGAGGAGGGAGAGGGGGAGGGGGAGGTTGAAAGGGGGAAGGGGAGGAGTGAGAAGGGAGGGAGGGAAGGAGGGAGGGAGGGAGGGAAGGAGGCAGGAAGCAGTGAGGAGTAGGGAGGCAGGAGGAGGAGGAGGCGGAGGAGGAGGAGGAGGAGGAGGAGAGAAGAGGGATGGGGGAGGGAGGGGAGGGAGGGAGGAAGGAGAGGGAAGGCAGGAGGAGGGAGGCAGGGAAGGAGGAGGAGGAGGGAGGCAGGAGGGGGCGCCTCCCCAGAAACCCCCCCCTTGCCGTCCTCAGCGAAAGGCAAGGGCCGCCCCTGCCTCCACCCCCCCGCCTTTCAGACGCCCCCGCCCCCCGCCCCGCGCGCCGCCGGCGCGCCCCGCTCACGGGCGCGCGGCCGGGCGGCGCGCCCAGTCGCACGCGGGCGCTGCTCCGCTGGCGGGGGGGGGGGGGAGAAGCGCCCGCGCAGCCGGCCTCGGCGCCTCGGGGGGCCGCCAGCCACCCAGCGGCGCGGGAGGAGCTCGGGGCGTTACTTGGTGTGGGGGGGGGGGCGATCACTGGGGGAGGAGGAGGAGGAGGATGATGAGGAGGATGCAGGAGGAGGAGGAGGATGAGGAGGAGGAGGAGGCGGAGAAGGAGGAGGAGGAGGAGGAGAAGGAGGAGGCGGAGGAGGAGTAGGAGGAGGAGGAGGAGGAGCAGAAGGAGGGGGAGCGAGCATTGGGAGGGGGGGGTCGGGGGGGAAACGTGCACCTTTCGTGCCCCCTGTGGGCCCCAGAGGGGCCCTGTTCAGGGGCCCTTCTGGGGCGCAAAAGGGCGGCCCCTGCTGCGCCCCCCCGGTGATCGCCCCCCCCCCCCCCAATACGCAACGCCCGAGCGCGTGCCCACGGCTCCTGTTCGGGGCGAGCTGGCGCACCATCGCAAGTGCGGGCACGACCGAGCAAGCGAGCTGCCACAAGACGCTGCAGGCGGGGGACGGCGCAGAAGCGCGTCAGCGCGTGGCACCAACGCCCGGACCAGTGGGTGGCGCGGGGAGCGAGCGAAGCCCCAGCACGTGCACAGGCAGCAGAGAACCGCGGGCAGCAGACGCGCACGCGCGCGCGCGAGCACGCATGTGCGCAGAGCGACGCGCGAGCACGCGTGCGAGCGACGCTTCTGCCGAGCCCCGGGGTGGCCTTCGCTGCGTCGGCTTGGCCACCAGCAGCCCCTGATGAGCTCGCAGAAGCCTTCGTAGCGCTGGGCGGGCTCAGAGGAGACCTCCCGATGTCGGATGCCCCCAGTGAGCGCACAGGAGACCTCCCAGCGTCAGGTTGATCACGAGCGGCCTCAACAGCCTCGGCGGGAGAAGGTCAGACACTGAAGTAAGTAGCTGGAATCAGGCAGGGCATGAGATATGCAACTGAATATGTGGGAGCGCATGTCGAGAGGGCGAGAGACAGCAGCGAGGGAGGGGGAAATGGAAAACGGGGGGAGGAGGAGG